AACTTGATCTTCCATGCCTCTTTTTGATTCAAAATCAAAACCCTAATTCTACTCAAAACTTAGAATTACAGTAATTCTAATCCCGAATTAAATTACAAATAATTTAATTTGAACGAATTTAATGCGATCCATGGAACCATATAATTAATGACCAAATCCATCATCCATACATTCATCTTCATGAATCAAATATAAACATCCATGAATTGCAAGTGCCTACCCATCACATACATACATAATTAAATTTTTATTATCAAATAATCGGAGCATAAATTAATATCATCTATAGACCGCTCTGATACCAATTGTTGGTCTCCGAATCGAATTCGGATGCAGAAGCGTGGTGCGGGAGAAGCGGATTGTGTATGACAAAAATTTTCATAAAAATTTTGAGATACTCTATAGATTATATTAATTTATGCACGAATAAATTAATCTCATTAATTCATTTATTAAGAACTCAATCAGGAAAAATACCTGGAAGCCGACTCGGATGATAACTTGAGTTCTTTGACCACGAACAGTCCTTGCTCCAATCTTTGTGTTTAGAAAACCAATGTCTTCTACGTCAATTCCTAGAATCCATGAAGACGTGTGTGTGGGCACACATGAGACAAAACGGGTTACAATAAACACTTAAATTTCCACAAACACCATCGCATGCACGATGTGGAATTTTTGGAGAAAAAATTTTCCTTCCTCTCTCTCTTGAGAATTTCGGCCAGCCTATCAAAAATAAGGCAGAAAAATTGTTTTCAACAATTATCTTCACAATTTTTTATCATTCTCATATTTATAGAGTAGAAGTCAAACTTCTAGAAGGAATCCAATCTCTATCTCTAAGATAAAGCTTGTTAATTATCTCCTGTTTGAATTTGGAACAAAATCTCCTCTTATCCTTATCCATTGTGGCCGGCCACCTTAAAGGGATTCTCATCTCTGTGTGGCGCCAATATCATATAGGGAAGGAAGAGAAAATCATCCTTTATCCTGTAGTCCAATTTTGACTCAAATTCAAATTCCAATTTAAGTAAAACTTAAATTAATTTGAATTCTAAATTGAACAACTTATCAAATAAGTTTAAATGGATAAATCTAGATATGTTCAAATTCAAATTTAAATAATCACATTATTTAAATAATAATTAATTCTCAACTAATTATTTT